TCTAGTGTTTTAAACATGAAGGTGCGCAGTATTTTGTTAAATGCTTTTTCTGCATCTATTGAGATGATCATATAATTCTTGTTTTTAAGTCTATTAATAAGATGAATTACGTTTATTGATTTCCATATGTTGAACCAACACTGCATCCCTGGGATGAATCCCACTTGATTGTGGTGCACTATCTTTTTAATGTTTTTGTATGAGATTTGCCAGAATTTTATCGAGAATTTTTGCATCTGTGTTCATCAGGGATATTGGTCTGAAGTTTTCTTTCTTTGATGTGTCTTTGTCTGGTTTTGGTATCAGGGTGATATTAGCCTCATAGAATGAATTTGGAAGGATTTCCTCCTTTTCTATTTCATGGAATACTTTGAGGATTATATTAATTCTTCTTTGAAAGTCTTGTAGAACTCAGCTGAGAATCCATCTGGTCCTGGGCTTTTCTTGGTCGGTAGGCTTTTGATGGCGTTTTCTATTTTATTACTTGAAATTGATCTGTTTAAATCATATATGACCTCCTCATTCAGTTTGAGTAGGTCATATGTCTCTAGAAATTTGTCAATGTCTTTGATATTTTCTGTTTTTTTCGAGTATAAATTTTCAAAGTAGTTTCTACTTATCTTCTGTATTTGACGTGTCCATTGTGTGATATTTCCTTCTTCATATTTCACTTCAGTAATTTGAGTTTTCTCTCTTTTTTCTTCATTAGCACAGCCAGTGGGTTATCTATTTTATTTATTTTTTCAAAGAACCAACTTTTTGTTTTGTCAATTTTTTCAATTATTTCTTTTGTTTTGATTTCATTAATTTCAGCTCTGATTTTAATTATTTCCTGTCTTCTACTGCTTTTGGTATTGATTTGTTCTTCTTTTTCTAGGGTTTTGAGATGTAGTATTAGGTCATTTATTTGTTGACTTTTTATTCTTTTAATGAATGTACCCAATGCAATAAACTTTCCTTTTAGTAATGCCTAGCAATTAGAGAAATGCAAATCAAAACCACTCTAAGATTTTATCTCACTCCTGTCCGAATGGCAATCATCAAGAATACAGGAACAATAAATGTTGGTGAGGATGTGGTGAAAAAGGTCCACTCACACATTGCTGGGAATGGAACCACCATTTAACCCAGCTATCCCACACCTTGGTTTGTACCCAAAGGACTTAGAATCAGCATACTCAAAAATAGTGATGCAGTCACATCAATGTTTATAGCAGCTCAATTCACAATAGCTAGACTATGGAACCAACCGAGGTGTCCCTCAATAGATGAATGGATAGAGAAAATGTGGTATATGTACTCAATGGAATATTACTCAGCTGTAAAGAAGAGTAAAATTATGGCATTTGCAGGTAAATAGATGGAGTTGGAGAATATCATGCCAAGCAAAATAAGCCAGTCCCACAAAACCAAAAGCCAAATGTTTTCTCTAATATGTAGATGCTAATTCACAATAAGGCGTGGGGCACTAGGAAATAACAGTATTATCTTAGATTAGGTAGAGGGAAGTGATGGGAGGGGAATGGAGGGGAGGTGGGAATAGGAAAGATAGTAGAATGAACAGACATTATTACTGTATGAATATATGTGGGTATGTGACCAATAGGATTCTGCAACAAGTACACTCAGAAAAATGAGAAATTATCTCCCATCTATGTATGATATATCAAAGTGCATAAATGCATTCTACTGTCATGTATAACTAATTAAAACAATAAAAATTTTTAAAAAATAGGCAATGCAAAAGTCTTGATGGTAATGCTATAAGCTAAATTACGACCCCCCCCCAACACCAAATCTCCCTGTGAAGCCCCGCCCCAGCAGCCTGGCATGTCCTCTGTTGACCTCCTCTTTAAAGGGGTACTTCAGTTAAAATGAGACTTCTAAGGAGGGGCCCTCATCTAACCTGATGAGTCTTCTTATAGGAAGGGGAGATTAGGAGACATAGAGGGCCAATAGGGACATAAACACACAGAGGACATACACATGAGGACACAGCAAGGACAGCCAGCCGTCTGTGAGCCAAGGACAGAGACCTCAAAAGAAACCAGACCCACTGACACCTTGACCTTGGATTTCCAACCTGCTGAATTGTAACAAAATGAATTTCTGTTTGTTAAGTAGCCTAATCTGTGGCAAACTAATGATCATCCGAAGTCGCCTGAAGTTATGAAGCTGTTTTTTTTTTTTTACTTATCTATTTATTTATTTTATTGAATAGTCTTTAAATTATCTGGGCTTGGACCTGGAAATTCACATAAATAATAGATACATATTTTGGTCCCTTTCCTTTAAGTTCTGGTTCAATGACAACACGGGGGGTTTATCGTTCATTAAAAAAGGGTCAGGGTCTGTTAGGTAGGTGTCAGCAGACAGGATGCAGGATTGTCCTCAGGCTGCTGAGGGTCTGGGGTGGAGAGACAGGGGAGTCAGAGCAGACTGGTCAGAGAAAAGCTACTGCAGAGGTGTCCAACGACGGCTGGGAGGAGCCCACTGAAGAACATGGTGGAGTGCAGTGTGGAAGGACGAGGTCACAATGCCCTGGTGAGAAGGGAGGTGCTTTTCAGGAGTGCCCCACTGCCACGCACATGCAGTGGCCTGCCAAGGGTACTGACCCGTCATGGCGGAGGCTGGCCCACAGGCTAATGGAGGCTGGAATTAGTCTTGACGCTCTGGCTCTGGCAAGTCCCTGGGCATGCTCACCTCGCTGCTCTTGCCCCAGCTCTACTCAGCACGCCCAATCAGGGAAGCAGCCTGGGTTCTTGATGTGCCTTCTACTGGACTTGGGTCTCTGCTCCCTTCCTGCCTCAGCCTTGACCTGGACTCCTGGGTGTCCCACTCCCAGGGCAAAATACTCCACCTCTCGACCCTGCAAGGGCCCTTCCCAAGCTACAGATTGTCCAGAACCTTGGTGCAGCCTCTGCTTGGCTCCAAACACAGTCAGTGTCTGGGAAATCCTATTGCAGTGTCACAAACACAAGAGCCTCTCCATTCATCAAGCACTCACTCTGGGCGGGCCTCAGTTCTCAGCTTATTATACGTATTATCTCACTTGATTCCTGGAACAACACTGTCTGGTATGATTAGTACCTTCACATGACAGTAGAGGAGGCTGACTCTTCAAGACACCCAAGACCTTACTTAGCAAGTGGTAGAGCTCAGTGAATGGTAGACTCATGCTCAGATATTCTGATGCCAAGACCAGTGCATGTAACCACTACCAGTGAATCTGCAAACCCAGTGGACACCAGTGTTGGCCCCAGTGATGAGGCCTTGGGGTCACGATTTGCCATCCCCACCTCTGTAAGGAGCAGCTTTAGAAGGAATGAACGCCCTGGCCCTCTACGTTCCCGCCTCCCTTTCCTCTCCAATATTCCAAAGCCCAGAGCTCCCACCGTGCCTCACTGCCAAGCCTGAGTGGGTACTGAGTGGGTACTGACCGGACCACCTAGGAGGAGGAGGAGCTGGCTGAGAACAAAGGCAGGCAAGGGCAGGTGGGGCTGTCAGGGGCAGCGGACAATTACATCATCAGCTGATATTTCCCATCTTTGGAAGTCCTTCCATATTTTAAGTCTCAGTCGGCAAGGAATCCTGAAATGTTCAGTGCTTGGGCGATCTCAGGTCTTTTCTGAAGGATTCATTCCACCAAGGAAAGCTGCTTCTCCTCAGCTCCTAGGGCCTTGGAGGCAGGTAAGGAGTGGGGAGTGGGAATCTCATTTTCAAAAGTAAGGGATGGGGACCAAGAGAGAGTCTCGTCTGCAGTGGCCGACTCCATCGCAGCCACCCCCACTCCCACCCCAAGCCATGGCAGCTTCCACAAGAGCACCACAATGGGTCCCTGTGTGGCTGACGCTGGGAGACTGGGAGCCCCACACGGAGAGACGATGTCATCGTGCTCTTAGGGAGGGTGGGGCTGCTGGGGGCTGCCCAGGCATAATGCACAAGTCCTGTGGGTGGCATAATGTGGAATTCATCTCCCCTGCTCTGCAGAGAGGGGACAGGCAGGACAATCCAGACTCTGTCAGCAAGGTCCTCCAGAGAGTTCAGGCCACGCTAATGAAGATGAATCAGAGGGAGATCTGTCTCCCAGGGCTGCTGCCTCTGCCCCTCAGAGCCAACACATCCATATTCATGGGCTGGAAGGACAACGCCCAGGGACGGCCCCTTCACCACCGAGAAGAGGGGGCAGAGGTATGGCAGTGCCGACCCACGCCTGGGGTGGGTTGAGTATTGTGGGGTGAAATAATCGGGCATGAATTAGGGGACTCCGGGAAATATCCTCAGCTAGATGGTATTTCCAGAGGAAATCTCTTCCTCCACCTGCTGCAGACCCAACTCCTGGTCCGAGCGCAGGGTCCCCTGAGAAAGATAGGGCTCAACGGAGTCTCAGGACAAAGCCCCACCTTTCTATTTCCTGCTCAGCTTCCGCCAACAAGAATCCCTGTGCCCTATCTGTTCTTGGTTTGGTTTCATGGAATCTTCTGGAGGTTCCACAGGGGGTCACCGGCACACACGAAGGCTCAGAGCACATACTGCATCTCGTCCTTTCAGCACACACTCTGGCTTTAGTAAACTTCCTTCCTCTGTGTGCTTCTCTAACTCGGCTCTTATGGCAATAAATCATTGCCCATCTCAGGCCTTCAGGATCAAGGGAAGTGACATGGGTAGGAGATCATCCTCCAGGGAAATCTGGACCAAGAACATGGGCATCGATACCAGGTTTCTTCAAAGGAGAGTAAATGTCGGCCTTGAACTTAGACCCACCATTATTTTGAAGTCAGTAGATCTCTTCTAGACTCCTGGATATTTTGATATTTTAAATGTTTTATTCCCTGTTATCGCACACCTGTTTCAGTGCCCAGGCAGTGTACGGAAAGGATACACATTGACCCAAATAAATCGAATCACCTTTCTGCTGCTGGCTCCTGTGGGTTTCCACTGAGCCACAGGCTGGTACTTAGTGGCAAGACAAATGTCAAGCAGAGCCCAAAGAGCCTTACCTGCCTTTCTGACATGATGTAGAGCTGCTCATGATCCTTGGAGAAGGCCATGTCACGGAGGACCGGGCCAGGTTCTACCACCTGCACTGTCTCGTACTGCAGGGCATTGCCCCTGGGCCCATCCACCCGGATCTGCAGGAAGAAAAAGAGCAAAACCAATATGAGAACAGGCACCATGACTGCCCACAGCCCAGCTTCAGTCCAGAGACCTTCCGACAGCCAAAGGACAGTCAGTGAGCTCTGCCACCACAGAGCTCAGAGGCCAAAGCCAAGCCGACTGAGGCATCCTGAAGGGCATTCCCAAGGAAGGGGAGGGGAGAGGCCTAGCTGGGCTTCAGCAAGAACCTGGTCTTGTTCTCTCCTGTTCCTGTGCCTTGCTGAAGTCTTAGAGCCCTGGGCTGGTTTGGGGAAATAAAGGGTGGGCTGGTATGGGGTGGGGTGGTCTGGGGATTGGGCAAACAGCTCAGCGTTGAGGCTGCCTCAGATCCAGAGTACCATCCTGCATCCACTGTATCCCAGAAATTCCCATTATGCACTTTCATTTAAAAATATTAATATGTAACTGTTAATCCCTCCTGTGATCAAGGAGAAACAGTTATTGAGTGGGGGGACACATTGATGACAACTGGTCACAGTTACCCAAAAGTCCGATGGCTTTTTCTGCAGAGTTCACCAGCCTCTGATAGCTGAGGCAGTTGGTTTATGTGTTTGACTTTAGTTTGTTCCAGGATTTGGTTGATTGGTTTTTCTTTGTTTGTTTTTTCCTTTTCAGCATTATTTTTAAGCTCCCTAGATATCAGGTGCTAAGAGGTGGCTTTGTACATATTCCTTATTGATATGATCCCCTCAATCCTGTGTGCTTAGTGCTCATTTGTCATGGCTTACACAGCCCCTGTCACATCTAAACCACCTTCTCCCACCTTCTGGGCAGGACTGAACCTACTCTCTGCTTCCAAGAGTTATTCTTGATGAGCAGAAACAAATCAGCTTAATCTCACTCTCTCACCACAGTGATGGAGAGAAAATTGACTCAACCCATCAACAGGTGTGATCAGAAGAGACTTTTGGAACCAGGAAATATCAGACACAGAGATGGGAAAACACATTGGCCCTTGATAATGTCCTGACCCCCAGAATCCAAATAACTCCAAAGCCTGCCCATTGTCTGAACTTGGTTGTTTCTTAAAATATTTCCTTATTGTTTATTCCTAAATCAATTCAAAGGCTTAATATCACATCAAAATCTTAGCTGATAAATTGATATTGTATACAGAAAATGAGACCCAGGTACATTAAACAGTTGCCTAGAGCTATGATATCTGCAGGTGGAATTAGAATCCAGGTCTGACTGTGAAGTCCCTGTTTATAAGAGAGGCCTTGTTCCTGGGGCTGAGGGTAGTTCGAGGTAGGTCCCGGTGGGGCCATCCAAAGGCAGGGGGGCTAAGGTCAGGATCTGCCTCTGGTCTCTTCAATTCCGGAGATGTTCACTAGTCACCCCTAATATTGATGCTCAAACTCTTGTGCTTGACAAATATTTATTTTAAAAATGAACAAATAAATGAGTAAGCTTAAGACTTTGCTAATTTCAGATTAAGCTCATGAAAATAATAGCAATGAAAACCGGAAAAAGAATCGAAGAGAGATTTAGCCCTGAAAAATCAAAATGCCTTGGATTCCCAGAGTCCTCGCTCTGTGCCCATTCCCAAGCCACCAGATGTCCACACCAGCCAGGACCTTTCTTAATCTGAGTGAAATGAGAGTTTGTGCAAAACCAATTGGGATTACCACCCAAGTCTGACCGTGTGGTGATGACCTTGGCCCCTGGCCCAGTCAAGCTTCAGCCCCAGCTGGGAGGTGCCCCGGGGTGGGAGCAGAGAGTGATACTGAGTGCCTGGCTGCTCTCCAGTCCCCTTGGCCGCCAGCAGGATTGGGCTCCCTTAGGGAATGCTGGCGGAACTAAGCCCCATCCAGCGCCCTTGGTCTGATCCCCAAAGTAAATTAGATTCAGTGCCTGAGTGGTCTTCTTATCATTTGGTTCCAACTTCCCTGCTCCCTCAGGTGAGGTGAAAGTACTGGACATAGTGGACATGAGAGGAAGTTGGTGACCGAGGGCAGGGACAGAAGGGTGGGCGAGGGAAGGAACAGGAGACACTCATGGGGTGAGTTTTCACAGCCTGGCCTCCTGGTCCCCACTGTCCACCCTCCGCCAGAGGGTGAAAACAATCAGGAAGGTGTTTCTCCTCCCCCTCCCCCATCCACAGCTTTCCACAAAACAGAAAGGAAAGCTTTCATGTGTCCGCTTCCTGAAAGAATCTCACAAGGACATGGAAAAAAGGAGTTTATTATGTAATCTGCTGAACATTTGTTGGGCAATCCTAAAATTCAGGTAGAATGGACAGGCTGCAGGCTTTGCGGCCCCTATATGGATAAAGGACAAGAATTGTTCTTTATTAAATGGCTACTACGAATCAGGCATTTACATCTCACAAGTTCCTAAAGTGAGCACGCATATCACCTCATTGCAGGCAAGGCACAAGAGAGGTGAAATGACCCGTCCAAGGTCACACATCTAGTGAAAGGCAATCCCGGATCCACACCAAGTTCCATTTGATTTCAGCCTCTGCGAGTTTACACGCTATGCCAACACACGTCCTGAACCAGGTCCTATTGGTTATGTAAATCTGCATCCTCTCAAGCAGTCAAAGTGGTTGATGTTAAACAAACATCACTCTGAGGGGTGGAGGAGGAACCAAGTCTTTATCCACTGCAGCTCTTTTGGGAGAGGAACATGCATATGAATGAAAATGCTGTTGTAAATTTTCAAAATAATGAGCCCTTATATTTTTTGTTTTATACTTTGCAAATTCATAAATAACACTGTCTCATCTGATGGTTATGAAATTTTTATGATGTTGACTGCTGGCATAAACCTTCTCGTTTTACTGACGAAGCAACGGAGACAGGAATTGTTCTTGCCCAAACTTCAATAGTAAACCAGTATCAGACAGGACTAGAACCCAGTTCTCCCATTTGCTAGCTCAGCTTTGGCTCTTAGCTATTTAGATGCTCCAAAAGCCTTTGACAAGGTTCCACATGAACAGGTATTTAAAAATAATGAGTCTCGGTGGGACTTGGGGCAGTTTGGGCCAAGGGAAGAGAAGCAATGGAGACAGGAAAGACACATTTCTGTGTGGAGAAGTAGAGCTGAGCACTCTCCCAACACTATTGTCTTACTTAATACTTTTTATAAAATGGTCTAGAGGAGAGAGCAAAAAAAAAAAAATTGCAGAGGATTTTGAGCTTTGAAGCCCAACAATGCACATAAACTATAGAAAGCTGTCCACCCTGGATGGGGCTGATGGTCAAGAAGGAGTTGACACAGGAGCAGGTAGATAGTCCTGGAACTGTGGGTCTCATGGGGCAGATGTCATGCCTGTCACATTCCCTAAGACATAATTGGTTCTCAATAAATAGTTATTAGTAACTATTAATAAACAGTTATTCTTCCAGCATTTTGATGGGCTCCGAGATGCTAGATATAATCAAGATAAGACACAGGATCAAGGAAAGGGACTTCAGTATCATTATTTTCCATTCCTCTTATTCCCAGGGAATCAACCAAACGTTAGGCAATATTCTGATGGGATTTTCAGGGACAAACAGACCAATGGAATCACCATCCTGGCCAAGTTCACTTCCAGTATTACATTTGGTCTGCACCTCAGAAGGTAGCAACATGCTCCAGGCCAGGACAACAGCCCAGACCAGAAATAAAAAGTTGAGAGTAGAGGTGGAAGGAGACCATTAACCAATGTCCATGTGTCAGTCAGGAATGGGTGACTGGGAGGCAGCAGCCTAAACAAATGTCTGTTATGTGACACAACGTAGGTGATATGTGTGGCTCACCCAAGCAGTGAGAAAAGATTAAAGCAGAAATCGATGACTTTTTTGAAGGTAGAAAATGTAAAGAGACCAATTGTGGGTTATGAATGTAAATATGTGTGTTTTGAAGACGTTGTAAATTTACAAAGTTGACACCCAGGGGGTAACCACATCACAACCCTGCAAGTCTCTGAACAGAATGACACACCACACACTCGTTTATCATCTGCCATGCGTTGGTCGAATGCCTGGCTTCATACCCATGAGGCCTGGTGACAAACTCTGTGACAGAGAGTTGTTCAAAGACCTCTGTTTGTTCTCTCCAGGAGCCCTGGCTGACTGACTGGGAGTCAATAGGTATGATGTGCCCAGCCCCAAGTAAGGCCAGTGGGCAGGGAGTATCCATACGCCATATAACAACGGGCCACCAATATGGCACCTGAGGGAGCTGAACCAATAAGACACAGAGTGGGTAACATTGGATGTACTCAAAAGCTACCTCAGGAGTCAAAAATATCTCAGGACACGAAGAAGAGTGGCCCATCAGAAGTAACAAAATTAGTGGTAGTAACATCCTGATAGGAGAGAAACAGTGAAAACAGGAGCAAGAGCCTTAGAAGGGGAAGTCTTTCTTCAGCACTGTCCCGAGAAGGGAGTGTGAACGGAGCAGACCTGAATGGCAATGTGGTCTCCGCGGCAGGGAATGGTGTCCCTCTAGGTCTTGCTTGAGCCCTAGTGGAATGTTCTAGAGTAGTATAGGTATATGTGAGCCACAAATGTGGGTCACATATGTCATTTGAAATTTTCTAGTAGAAAAAGAGATGGGTGAAATTAATTTTCACAATTATCTTGTCTAACCTGTTGTGCCCTAAATATGATGTTCACAAGTATGCAGATATACACGTGTAAAATTATCAATGGGATATTTTACTTTCTTTTTCTCATACCAAATCATTAAAACCTGGCATGTGCTTTACATGTACGACATCTCAACTTGGTCTTACAATGTGGCTGCTGGCCACCATATAGGATGGCACTGTTCTAGAGCATTCTCTTGCCAGTATTCTGGTTCTATACTCACCAATCAACCTGGCTAAGAATTTGACTTGGTGACTCTCCTCCTGGGGATGCCTCAGTGGAAACTTTGCCCAACTCCCCCATCTTTACCACAGCATACTGGTGTCTCCCACCGACCCTCCATCTACAGCCTAACACAGTGTGTCTCACCATCCTCACGTTTTTGAAGCTCA